GGCTATAAGAGTCCAAAACTGCTCATTCTCATAACCACGATGAGCACTAGTGTGTGTATACAGACAGATATTAGAATACCAATAAAATGGTTCATAATCGACAGAAATAAAAGACGTACCTGTGCATCTCCAAATGTACGACGGCGTGTATGCTCTCATTAGACAATCGAAGCATTTTTTTTATCGCTTTCCCTTGTGAGTGATCCTGCTCATGAAAACAAACGAGTAGCACGGAGTAAAAGGTTAAACATGCGAGTGCGTCCGACTTAAAACATCATATTTTATTTCCTGTCGGCTAAACTCTTCTTGGTTTTGTCCTTGGCTCTTGATCCAGTTTGTTCATCATCGAGAGTTATTTCTACATTCTCTGTATAGAAGAATCTCACACTCATCGCGAATGTTTCATATTCGAATTCTCTTATATTCTGAACAATACCCCAGCTTGATGGATAATTGACTGGGTTGTAGGCTAAAAATGTTATAACGATCAGGTGAAATAATTGCTGTAATGTAGTAGACTTTAAACAAAGTGCACATGTATGTAATTATTTCTAACCTCACGTTTGGTTTTACACCTCAGGTGTTTGTACTAGTGTTCAGCCACTTGGGCTGGCCAGGGTAAAAACCTTCTGCAAAACACTCTAACACTTCCGGTGGCAATCTGAGCACATTGTTGACACATTGATGTTGCTCCGTAGCCTACTTGGCCCATATTCACTGAGTAAGGCGGAATAGCGTGTACGGAATACCCAGAAGTGTAGCATTTGTGTGATATGTCACGACCTAATTTACATACTACACATCCTGTACATTTGATGCAATTTATAGTCAATTTATAGTCTTCTGTTGCACATTGTGTGTACACTTGATTACTACATAGAATACAGTGCCGCGTCACTCCTCAGATTCTCCACATACCCTTCAAATGTTCATTGTACGCTTAAACGTTCGTTTTTAAAATGTTGTGTTGAGGGCGTGCCTCTTCAATGCACGGCTACTTGTTGATGCATCGCTGATGGAGTTGGTGGAGATTCGAATTGCATTTGCGGGTGTACAGGACCAAGTTTCATATCGTACTGCGTAAGGCACATAATTTATTGTACTTGCGTGTTGTGTTATATTATAATCACTAAGTGCTAAAGAATTGGTATCCATAGTATTGAGAAACCTGTCATCGTGCATCTGAACGTGTACCTGATTGAGCATCTGATGCAGATCTGGTATAGCTTGCGGCTAGAGAGTCTGGTGGTAGAAGGAAACTGTCTACTATTGTGAGGGGGATGGTCTGCGACCAGCACTATCTTCACTTACCATAGCTTTAAGGGAGTACACATGAAAACTGTAATTATTTTTCAATAGTTCGCTAAGCCCGAAGTTTTGTCCTCTTTCATTTCTGACACAAGCCTAGGTCATGAACTTGATCGTTATACGGTAAATGGCATTAATATAGAACAACACAAACAATCCGACGGCTCGGCGGATTCCCCCCTTTGCCCCCCACCCCCGCCTCCCTAAGAAAAAAGGGGTCCAAAAATTCGATAATGCTGTAGCATCTAAGGACCAGATCATCAAAAAGCCAATCCAAATCCCAAATCCTCAGAATCATCAAATATTGAGTTTTGGAATTAGTATTCAAATATTCCTGATATTAGAGCGAGAAACACTCAAGTAGAAACCCGAGTCAAGTGAATTAAAAACACAAATAAAGGCTCAGTTCGGTTCTCTCAGACTAGGGACTTCTTCTAGCTGAGAGAGCCGTACTTGAGAAGGGGTCTATTATATCCTTTGACTCGGTACCTTTCAGCTACTCTCCATACCCTACAATGCGAAGAGTCGTCGGATTTCTAAGCACTGGTGATACAAACTACTTTTTAAGCAACACTATAAATATATATATTACTATCGTAGCAATATTAAATATATAAATGACTTTCTAGCAATTTTGCAAGTATATACATTTCTTTTCTAGCAGTATTGTAATGTATATATTACTTTCTAGCAATAACGTAAGTATATACATTCATTTTCTAGCAATATTGTAAATATGCAAATTACTTTTCCAGCAATATTGTCAAAATATGTCTCGTGGATTCATTATGGTTGATACATAAGGCTTTGTGGACCTGGAAGCGCTTGAAATTGCCGGAGGCATTCATGTACACAGCAACGGTGTATGTACGAATACAGTAGAAAGGTCATACTGTTAGTTTTCAAACAATTCGAAAAAAAGTTTGCACCAAGACACTAGGATGAATATCTTTTTATTTTGTCTTCGATGGCGATATGCCACCTGCAAAGCAACATGAGGTTAACAAGCGAATACAGGAGCCGACCAATGCTTAGCAAGAGTGGCTTGTACTTGATGCTGCGGGGCAAGGGGCATCAGCAAATACATTTGAACTACTAGCGCAGAGTGCTGGAACTAGAAAATTCGAACATACACGTGTAGCAGCAAGCTACTGTTTAACTAATCGTATTGAATATATGATCGCACCTTTGAGAGCGCACTGTCAGTTTACCTTGCACGTGAGGAGGACGATAGGGCATTTGTAGCGACGAGTGACTCAGACCATCTTGTTTATGACGGTGTTATTAAGTTCGTCGACCTCACTAAAAAGGCATCGAAGTCAAATCCCATTACGTTTTCTTAGAGTATGCTTGCATACAAGACAACAACGAAATGAGTTTATAGCTCACGTCGTAATCAATAATGTTACCTTCATGGCATGGTGTCTTTTGCAAGGGTGTGACTATACCGAGCATTTGCCACAGAATAGGGGATCGCTGCCTGGTGTACGCATGAAGCATATGATGGGATCAGTCATGGTAGTATGATGCTTCCGGATGATAACTTTAATTTTCTATAAGCCCTGCAAAAGGCACTTGGCGATAGTTGCTTTACGAAATGTGAAAAAGTGTTAATATTGGTATATAATTTGTTTATGTACGGAGCTACAGAGCTGTATTTGATAAACAAATGACGAAATGTGTCCACTATCCGGTATAGCTAAGGATCTGGATGAGACCATTACAAATGCAGTAGGGCTTAAAGTTGATAGTCCAAATATTGTAGCTTACAGCTCAACGGAATATGACCCACTCAAATACTATCAACCCAATTCAGGCGTACGGGGTATGTCCTGTGCCAGTGCACTACAGAATGAAGTACACGGCGGTAGCTAAGAATAAGTGGCACTATCTGCCATTTATATCGGTCAAATCCATACAAGACCTTTTTTGGGGCTACGACACGAAGAAAAGGGTATCCGCATGCTGCTACACATACAACGGCTTTGGACAAATCTATAGTAATTTGGGATTATAAAGCAGGTGTATATCGCCTTGTCTGTTTGCCATTCCCCGAACGGCAACCATATATACTTGCACGTACGCGTATGTCGATCTCATAAGCCGTCTTCTATGGAAGTGTAGGTATACAATGTTAAGAATGAACAGTCGAGCAAGTGCATCGTTAATTCTGGGTATTGCATTTGCCCACTCGGAATCAAGGGGAAGTGCTTATATGCAGCGGCATTGGTTTGTACTTCAGTACAACAGGCTTGCTGGGCTAATGCGAATGACATGGAGCGGTACAAGCATGATTCGATTGTTCAAAAATTTACACCGTTGAATAGCGTGGCGTGCACTAGCAATCTTAGCAAATAGAGTCTACCATCATTCCCACCTGGTGACATTTTGAAGATGTAAATCGGCCTATATATATTTGACTATTTTGAAAGTCCGCACGCTGTTGCGATCAAGCCGGAGAGATGGATAGAGAATAGGAAAAACGCGAAGGAGAACGATGATCCTAATGCAAAACCAAAACGGGACCGCTCTCCTCGTCTTCAGGCAAAGAAAATATCAAGACTCGCTATGCTACCTTAGCAAAATAATGATTTTGATTTTTTACCCTTTTATGGCGCTAATAATGATTTGCTTGACATTTTGCGTGATTAGAACTGGGCTCTCGTCGACGACGTTGCTGCACAATTCAAGCTATGCGACATTTAGTAAGTTTTAAATACAAATCTGAAACTAACGGCTCTTAGGAATTGAACAAGTTGTATGCTTTTTGACAATTCATTACATTCTCTTTGCTCACATGATAAGATAATATCCGTCAGAGAGAAACATATCTCAGCAGCAATGCAAAAAATATATATAAAAAATCAACCAATTGCACTACCTCACCTAGCATACGGAAGAACTTGGCACGACAATTAACACTCTCGACATGTATTCTAAGAGGCTATACGTACGGACTCGGCGTTTTCCTCTGGGGTAAATTGCCATTTTTTTTATAGCATAGACGGTACTTTGTATTTGCAACCTTTTGGTAGAAAATCTTAAATATGAAAGATTTTGACTTCCAGCGCAGCGGAGCTTTCCCATAGCTTTGAGAAGAATGCTTCTAAACACAACAATGATATGTCTTATCCTTCCGGAATACAGCGGAGAGCAGAATACACAATGGACGGCTGCATTTATACATACAAGCATCTTCACCGCATTATGATGCCTATAAGAACTTCAGGTGGCACGTTAAATAACTTAAAAGATGGAGTTTCGATATTTTTTTTGTATGTTCTGTAGAAACTTTGTGTGTGACACTCGTGTAAATACATTTCGTACAAGCATGAGAACTCAGATACGTGTTCTACTTGTCGCATCGATCACAATTGTCAGATCAGGATAGTACTCTTCAAGGCATGGTAAGACCATCTCGGACACTACATCCTTCGAGAACAATTGCATCTGGTTATTGGCCGGATGACGGATATATGCTAGCTATATATGGTTTGCGTCATTCATTATATTGAATACTGTTTCTACAGTTGATGCTCCAAACAAATGAGCTACGACAGATTCGTACACGTCGCACAAACCACATGAGCACAGCATCTGCGGTTAAGCGGCCAGGCTTGTATTGTTGGCAGTGGTACTTTATAAGATTCTTCACGAATCTGATATGAGCGAAACCCGGTCTACAATCGTACCCATATGGGTTCGTGTAGTGCTGTTTATTTATTATCTGTATGTCTATTTTTTCTTTTCGTTGGTTCATCGATTGTATCAGTCAAACGAGATATCGTTATCTTCGTTTCGCAAAGCTCGATCACCGCCCTTGCAGCAGCTGCCTCTTCTTCAGCAAGATCCTTTTCGAATTTTTGCTTTATAGCTATATGAGTTTTTGTTTTGTTTGGTGGCGTAAAGTTTTTACGTTCCTTTACGATGGAGGATATCTGTGTTCGCGTAGTCACATGCGTAGTTGTCTGATCATTATCTCGAAGTATATCCAGACTTGCAAGTTTCTCCACGAGATTCGCTTCTGATCTGATCTGTTCTTGTAGCTTGGTCTCTGCTAATTTACGTTTATGTTCAGCATACGTCATAACTTCAGCATCTTTCGTACCCAGTGTCAGTCCTTTCCCTGTTGTGTCAAACCCCCTATAGAAATGTGAGTGTCGCACATACGATGATTCTTTTGCATCTCCTCATGAAGCTCTGTCTCACTCATCAAATAAGCCTTGGCTATTCGCCCGTCATACTAGCCATCTTCGGTATCGGATAGGGTATCGTATAGAGATACGATGGCTAGGCTTGATGGCTGTGTTCAGCTGAACAATATTCAGCGCGCAACTACCCATAGTATTGACTATGACATGTATGAACGAAGAGTACTCAGCTTGAGTGCTAATACAGTCTACGGTAGCCTATTACTGTGTTTTGGTGGTATGTGCACTCTATATCTAATACACAGAATACTCTTTAATGTATTAAAGCAAACACATTGAAAACAATGCAAAGTGAGACACAAGTAGGCAATATATGGTATATTTTTTATGTGTTTTGCATTTGCTTGCCGCCGCTTTTCATAATTGGTGGCTAAAATTTTATTTTTGTAGGTCTCCGATGTACTGGCTGAGTTTTTTGATCTAATAACTATATGTCTGCAAGGACTATAGGCAGCCGCTGTCTCTCTCACTCACTTTATGCGTTTCCATATCTTCAGTGTACCATCCACTGAGCCGGACGCGAACTGACCGGAGGTGGGATTGTGCGAAATAGAAATGGCAATATCTGTGTCCAATCATGGGGGGAGGACAGAATAGTGGAAATTATAAGTGAATCGCAAAAGTATATATTACGTATGTTCGATAAAATCAGAACGATTGCATATGAATGAAAGTAAGAGGAAAATCACCTAGACACTTATTATATTGTCATATATGCCAGAGAACGAGGGGCAACCCGTATAGGATTTTTGCCATGGCCCAGAGGGGAATGCTTAAGGACAAACCTGTATGACCCTCCAGCACCTGGAGTTGAGTCATTGATTGCATATCCCAGATCAGTATCCTTCCATCCTCGCTCCCACTGTGAAATGTGTGGCCAGGCATCAGATACGGATGTAGTTATGCACATATACGAAGCGCAAGGGATAGGTTATGACACATACCTAGATAATTTTTTTTGTACGAATCCTTCTATATAGTCTTACAAGTACATATGAACAAACTTCAATTAAGATACACATGCTAACATATACATATGGATGAAAGTGGAAAAAAAATACATGTAAATACATCTATGACAGAATATAACAGTACTCTGATTACCACAAGTACTTACAGTGTCATGTAACTCTACTGTGCATAAAGTCACAGGCTAGAGTAACAAAAGATCCAAATTATGTTGCAATGTGCAGACTCTGTTACCATAAAAGAAGATCCTCAGATGAGATACTCGAAACTATACTTTGCAGAAAGACCTCGTCAAAATAGACATATGTGCAATGGTTAAGTGGAAGCCTTAAATGGTGCAACGACTCACACTCGTTCTTATACTTGGATTCGAACCAATACACATATACTACAAGTGTGAAGTGTGCAGAAACCGGAGTACCACAGGGCAGTATCAGTGAACTTATCTGCAACGCCTACCGCATGAGAACACAGGGCAAGCGCAGAGGACAGCGCTTCTTCACAAACCTACGTACACATCTGTCACATTTTGTCCCGTTTACAGCACATACGCATTTACTGCCTAATCTTTGGTATAACCACAAGCTCTCTCCTCATACCATCAGATACACCACTTGGGTAAACTTCCCATTGCACACCAGTACATAGGTCTGTCTCACACTGACACACGCAGATCAGTTACAAACACACCTGAGTACCAGCGGGTGTGTATCTTCGTCTGCGAGTGCCGAAAAACAGCACAGCCGCACATTGTGATGGCCACTATACACTTTCAAACACTTTCCGTTGTGACTGTTCCACAATCGGATCTGGCTGGAGTGGGACGTGTAACGCAGAGGTAAGGGTATATGACTACAAAAACCCTTTATGGGGATAAAACCTAGTCTATTTTGAACTAAGACTGCGGCCGGCACTGGATGGATACCTTGTCAACACATACGTACAATTTTTCAAACAATACGACGAGTGAGATGGGGGACACAGTAGCACATACCTGTTAAGATAGGAAGCAAGAATATATTTGGAATCTTTGGAGTACATGATATGGCCCAGCGGCGGATTAGAGTACTCGTAGATAGTTCGTATGCAGGTGCCGTTCTCTGTGTTCCATATCCGTCTGGTAGCAACGAATCGATCAGTCAAAGTGAGTGGTCGTGAATAGCCCCCAGTTGCAAGAACTTAGCGATACAATCTCTCTTTATTGGACCATAAGAGACTCAAAATCACATGTTGTGTATTAACCAATCTGTGCATTGAGAGTGGGCCCTGAGTCTCTACTACCACCTCTCATGCTACATAAGGGATCTAAATCATCTTAATAGTTTTAGCAGGTGGCATCCGCATCTAATCAGATGCGGCAACTGACGTTCAGGCCACCGTTGTACCATTTGTAAATAGATTTCGAACTCTAATAATACACCATTTGGCAGTGGTGCGTATTTTCTCAATGCAAGGATAAGTATTAACGAAAGTCAGTCCCTTTACAGTTCATAACATATACTACTAAGAGTGAGCATAAGTACGAGTATGCAAGCACACTCGTCATGCATATATATGCTCAATTGACGAAAGAATTTAACCAGCCTATCATAGGCATTGGTTTTGTTAGCGGTTGAAACACTGAAATACCGACTAAACATACGAATATATATACACACACACACACACACACACGCACACACACACACACACACACACGCACACACACACACACACACACACACACACAACACNCACACACACACACTATTATATATTATTATTACACTACGTACGTACGTTACGTAACGTAAACTTAATAACTAACTAACGTAACCAACCGGAACCGGGTCCCGTACTAAGTTACGCGTC